GTAGTATTAGGGTTTATAAGATGATAGAAGAAAAGGCAAGAAAGAAAAAGAAGAATAGAGGAAATAATAATCTGATGTGTACGTTAGGACCGTTAGGTTGCCCAACACTTGCAGTTATAATTGGGTAATAAAAAAAGTAACTACAATTTTACCCTACATTAATTTAGTTATGTCTAATAAAGTAAATAAGAACTCTAGCAAATATATAACAACTAGTAATTTGAAGTGCATATTTATAAACACAACAATGGTTGCGATTAATTCAATTTTCTTCCAATTTCATCTAACTACACAAAATGCATTTCAAAAATAATTTTTCCTCCTCAAAAACATAATTTTCTCTCTACAGTTTTTAATGTTTGACAACCCAATCAACACGCAATACAATACCAGACAACCCCACTAGCCTACACCTACCTCTTTCTTTTCTCTCCTCTACCCCTCTCTTATTTTCTCTTTGTTTGTTCAAATTTTAAATCATGAAATTAAAGCAAAAAATAAAAATACATTACTATTTAAAATAGAAACATTGCACGATCAATACTTGAATTTTGTATTACAGAGTGTGTTAAGAGTCACATGGTTATTGTTTGTATATATATGGATGGTCACTGCATTCTTGGGTTTGACAGCCACTTTTGTTCTTTCCTTTATCTCATCTTTCTCTAGAANCCACAAGACCTCAAACACAACAAAGAGACCAAAAAACTTGCCAAATGAGTCGATTGGTAGAAGTCCAACCACTGAATAGTGGTTTAACAGCCTACCAACAGCTTCAAGAGGCCAAAAACACATCACATTCAAACACACAGAAGTCCAAGGCGAGCCCTTCTGGTCCAGAACCCAAATCGAAGAAGAGAAAGCCCAAAATTTGCTCGAAATCGCTAGATCAAGCCATTTGCCCCCTTTTTTTTTTCCAAAAATCATTCAAAAATACCAAACACTATGCAGATGGCTTTAAAAAAATTAATATAATATCATAATTTTAAGCAGAGAATTTCAAGTCTAGGTTGATGTTCTGGTGTTCGTACGATGACGATATGTGACTTAGCACGACATCATCTCTGACATTGACATCAGCAAATTGAAAAATAATCCGATCTCTTCTACGATGTTCTCAGATACTATTAATGCTTTGAAACTAAGTTAAAATAGTAGTATTAGGGTTTATAAGATGATAGAAGAAAAGGCAAGAAAGAAAAAGAAGAATAGAGGAAATAATAATCTGATGTGTACGTTAGGACCGTTAGGTTGCCCAACACTTGCAGTTATAATTGGGTAATAAAAAAAGTAACTACAATTTTACCCTACATTAATTTAGTTATGTCTAATAAAGTAAATAAGAACTCTAGCAAATATATAACAACTAGTAATTTGAAGTGCATATTTATAAACACAACAATGGTTGCGATTAATTCAATTTTCTTCCAATTTCATCTAACTACACAAAATGCATTTCAAAAATAATTTTTCCTCCTCAAAAACATAATTTTCTCTCTACAGTTTTTAATGTTTGACAACCCAATCAACACGCAATACAATACCAGACAACCCCACTAGCCTACACCTACCTCTTTCTTTTCTCTCCTCTACCCCTCTCTTATTTTCTCTTTGTTTGTTCAAATTTTAAATCATGAAATTAAAGCAAAAAATAAAAATACATTACTATTTAAAATAGAAACATTGCACGATCAATACTTGAATTTTGTATTACAGAGTGTGTTAAGAGTCACATGGTTATTGTTTGTATATATATGGATGGTCACTGCATTCTTGGGTTTGACAGCCACTTTTGTTCTTTCCTTTATCTCATCTTTCTCTAGAATCTGAACATGATGTCCATGCGCCTAAAATATTACTCTTGCCTCATTTTTTCTATTTTCCTCTCGTTGCCCTCGTTTTTTCCTCCTTACCCAATCAAAACATCTAGAAACCAAAAGCCAAAATAGCTATAAAACAAAATTAAAGACAACAACTAGAAATAAGTTATAATTTACTGGAAATTCTATGTTAACATGGTGAAATCCTATTGTTTTTTCACTCACTATGATATTTGGTTATAATAAAATATCAATATTTAAAAGTTGAATGTTAGAGCAATTTTATTACGAATGAATTAAATTTCATGTCGAAATAGTTGAAATATTTGAACTGTTTCCGTTTCCATGCAAACTAAAAGAATCATCGATTGAATATTAAAATTTTAATGTTTCGAGGTGTTTCGGGGGTTTCGACTTATGTTTTAGAATGTTTCGTTTGTTTCGACCAATAATTTGGAAACAAAATATTTAAAATTTTTCAAATGTAAATAACATTAAATGCTTGTGTCACAACACTCTTTGGCCCTCTGGGTAGGACTGTTAGTCAAACGAGCTCGGCCTGAGTTTGAAAAGCTTGTTTATTAATTGAGCTTAAAAAATTGTTCAAGTTCAGCTCATTTAGAAAACGAGCCGAGCCTGAACGAGTCAAAAATAAGTCGAGCTTGAGCTGAGTCCGAGTATTTGCACATAAACAAGGCGAACCTTTCGAGTTTGAGTCGAGCTTGTAGGGTTGGTTTTCTAAACGGGCCCAAAAACTTGTTCAAGTTTGGGCTTGTTTAGAAAACAAACCGAGTCGAACCCGAGTCGAACTCAAGCCAAACTCGAGTAGCTCAGTTTGATTAATGGCCTGGGTCACCGATCTACATCTCAGTCTCACATTTTTTCTGTCTCTTAGCTACCACTTTGTCTTTGTTAGTCTCAGAAAACAGAATATTTTTTTTTGATCATATCTCAGAAAAACAGAATAACTAAAATGCTTCGTACATGTGTGCCGAAGAACAAAAACTTTTTTCAGACATTTGTACAGAATATATGTTCATTGATTTTTTTCTTTAACATTATTATCACTTAAGAAAGTAATCCAATCCCATGGTTAGTTTCGATCAAGGTCATTAAAAATATAATAATCAACTTGAGTTCATGTCAAATTTGTGCTTTGCATATCTCATATTTAGCTGAATTGTGTACACATTTCACTAAGTGGGTTTGAATTCAATTGAGGAATTTAGTTTCAAATTGAATTTGATTATCTAATTTAGTGATATCCAAATCTGTTAAAAATTAAAAATTCGATCACTAAATAGCTGAATTGCTAAGAGAGTCTATCGAAATTTGAATTAGAATGCACTTATTTCTATAACTATAATTGCTTATACTTGAAAATTTTATTATTTTGTAAACTTTTTCGACAATATAAGTACTATGGAAATGTTAGTTTCTTGAATTTTTGTCGGTCGATTTCATAGATTGAAACTTCAAAGTTTTGTGAACTTAGGGGTGATATATAATCTCGTATGATACAAGGTAGCATTGACTTGATAAAGATAAGAAAATCTACAAAAAAAAATTAGAAAACTAGCACAAATAACCCCCTTTTATGTAATAACCAATGATCAAAATTTCGTTTAAGTGAATAATTTAAGTGAGTTTGAAAACAAAAACGTTTCGGTAATATTTCAAAGATATGTGGCTCTTCTTATTGAAGATTTATGTACTTCAATGTGTTGACCACCCATTGAATCTTTTTTAGAATAACAGATGCAGAATAATTGGAAGCACATATATTTCGTTAAAGTTAACGTATCTGTATCGGATACGATACTTGAACATACGTATCGGATACACACCAAACGTATCTAATAAAAAATAAAATATATGAATACGTCACAAAAACTTCTATATTTAGAGAAATATGCATAATTTTTAGTTTTTATCTTTATTCATTCCTTTTGATTTCACATATAATGCAACACATCAACAAAAATTCATACAACTTTGAAGACCCATGGGTGTTTTCCAGTTACCGGTTATTATACATTATCACATGTCCAAAGAATATAAATGAGTTGATTACTATGTAATTTTACCAACAAATTCTTTTAAGTAAATAATTTGGTTAAATATTGGTTTTTATTCTTTTAATTAATTACGTTCACTTTGTAGATGTATCATAGTGATAGGTAATTTTTTGAAAATGAAAAATTATTAATGTTATTTATTATTATTAAAGAATCATTAAAAATTGTAGTTGTCAAATCATTACATAATAATACAAATATAAAATATATATATTTATAAACGTATTCTGGTTGTACCCGTATCCTATTTTTTGGTTTTTACCATATCACTGTATCCGTATCGTATCGTATCATACCCATATCTTGTATATGTATCCATATCTGTGCTTCAATAGGGAGTAGAAGTTTATCAATCCAAATCGGGAGGTAATGAAGATCAAGAGATACCAAGAGTGAACAAATTCGATGTTTGGGGTTAATTGTCCACAGGATTGGGAGATTGAGACAATGTGCCCAATTGAGTTAAACTAGAAAGGACTAAATGAATAACTAAATTTGATGCATCATATGATTGACGTATACTCTTGAAGTGGAAGGGTAAATCCTACAAGGCAACTAACCAATCGTATTTAATGGTACAAAGTGTTGGATAACTAAGAAACACCATGCTCAAAAACTAAGTTTGATTGAAATGTGGATCTGGGATAAAATGAGAAACAATAGAATTTGGAATGAGTATATTCGTTAAAGGGTAGAAGTTGGAGTACTATGTCATAAATTAAGTGAGAATCGGCAGTTGGACATGTTTAGAAGACCTATTACTCCATCCATGAGGAAGAGTAATGCGTACCTACCGGTAGTAATGCAAGGGGGAGGTAAACCAAAATTAAATTTGAATGAGGTAGCAATACAAAATGATAGCTTGCAGTTCAATAGAAAATATAGTACCTGGCAGAGCACAATGACAAAATAGACTATATGAGATGACATCAAATAGTTAGGACAAGAGACGAATTGAATGCGTGGACAGCCCCATAAACAAATTGATATGAATTTTAGTGATCAACCTTAAATCAGTCAATTGCACGGCAAATTTAACACAACCTCTGAGAGCCTGAAATATCTTTGGTCACATGCGTAGTTTGGCATTTCTGTTTTTCTCATGAAAGGTGGCATACATAGACAGGTATATGGGGCATTCAGAGCCAAGCTGTCAATTGCAGGGCCTGATCACCAAAGCTACAATTATATTTTTGATAATATGATATATAAAAAAACAGGTATAATTGCAAGTAATAGCTCAGAGGTTTAATACTGTGTTGTTACAGTGTCAGTGGGTGCTCTCACNTTGATCACCAAAGCTACAATTATATTTGTGATAATATGATATATAAAAAAACAGGTATAATTGTAAGTAATAGCTCAGAGGTTTAATACTGTGTTGTTACAGTGTCAGTGGGTGCTCTCACTCCAGTTGCCACTGCCGCTCTAAGGCAAGACTGTATTCTATAAAATATTCATGCTGTTCTTCGGATTTCATGTTTTGCTTGTATAGAAGTTCATTATTTGATTGGGATTTATCTGCTGAAGGATGCCACAAAGCAGGCTATTTAAAAACAATTCAAATATGAAACAGCAATAGGATGTTATAAATATTTGAGTTAATGAGATCTATGATGCAGTTAAAAATTGCTTCGTGACGGCATCAATCGATAGTTATGCTCTTGTGGCCTAGTTGTTTTGCTTGGAGAGGCATGTGCCAAACCATGATGCAGTGTCTCATTTATCTAAGTATCTTAAGTTCTTAACCCGTGGTCAACAGGCAAAGGGCTCTGATGCTGCTATGACAATGGGCACTGAAGCAGCTGTATATGCAGCAGAGGCTTCAGACAAAAATGATATTCTTGAGAGGGTTCTTCCTGCATCTGTTTCTGAATATGTAGAATTGGTTAAAGCTCACATTATCGCTGGTGGGTGAAATCCACACAATTGTATGAACGTTAAACTCATAGCCATACATTCTGACATCACATGATTGTTTCAGGGCCAAATCATCGTTTTGCATCTCGGCAATTGCTACTACTTGGATCAATGCTGGATTTTTCTGACTCTACAAACAGGAAGGTTGCTGGTGAATTTGTAAAGGAGTTATTGCACATGCCTATTGATCATGAATTGGATGACGGTGGGAATGAGGTTGTCATAGGAGATGGCATCAATCTTCTTGGAGACAAAGATTGGGCTAATGCGGTGTCAGGATTAACGATGAAAGTCCATGCTGCTTCGGGAGAATTTGAAGAAGTAGTTCTTGGGGTTTTAGAGGAGCTTGCTCGTCCTTGCAGGGAGAGAACAGCAGACTGTACGCAGTGGATGCACTGCCTTGCTGTGACTGGCCTCCTCTTGGTGAACACAAAGTCATTTCGCTGGATGCATGGGAAGGCCATTGAACCTGCTGAAATTCTGCAGTCCTTATTGCTTCCAGGGGTATGTATCTGGGCAAAAATTTGTTGCAGATCTTTTTTCTTTTTCTAAAAGTTTTGGCTCTAACTTAGTTATCCCTTTTATATCGTTTGGTCATTTTTTATTCTTCTTCGCAATCGGTTTTGAATTTTTGAGCTGGTAGTATTGACTATTGGTCTGAGTTATCAAATGCAGGCAAAGCATGCCCACTTGGATGTTCAAAGGGCTGCAACCAGGTGTTTAGGTCTTTTTGGGTTGTTAGAGCGAAAACCCAGTGAGGAACTAGTAAAGCAGCTGAGGCTCTCATTTATTAAGGGACCCTCTCCAATCAGTATCATGGCTTGTAAGGCGTTGCTCGATATTGGTATGTGGCATGGTCCTCAGGAAGTTGACAAAACCATGAAACAGGATCTCTCCTCGCAACTCCGTGATCATACGGTGGCTTTCTGCCCTGTTAATTTGTGTGATACAAAGGAGGATTTTAATATTGAATTGCTAGATCTGTTGTGTGCTGGATTTGAGAGACATGATTGGGGCGAATCTGTGGAGGCTGATGAAAATGAGTCAGTTCAAGCTGTTCTTGGGGAGGGGTTTGCAAAAATTCTCCTTCTGAGTGAGAGTTATCCTAGTGTACCCGCGTCATCACATCCTTTACTGTTGGCCAAACTCATCAGCCTTTATTTCTGTAGTGAAAATAAAGAACTAAGGAGGTGCTTTGCTTTGTCATTTCGTATGATATTTCTTCATATGCGAAGAAAATTAATTATCTACTGTTTACTTGACTAGGTTGAAGCAGTGCTTATCTGTATTCTTTGAACATTATCCATCTCTCTCATTGAATCACAAGGTAAGTACCATTGGTTTTAAGATTAAATTTATTTTAACTATATCTCGGTAAGTATTACTAATCATGGTTTATGTTTCATGAAATGGAAATGACAAATGGATTATTCTGTGAGTGAAGAAATGTTTATCCAAGGCATTTGTTCCGGTCATGCATACTATGTGGCCAGGCATAAATGGCAATGCTGCAGGATCTACAGTAATGGTGTCTAACTTGCGTAAGCGGGCTGTCCAAGCATCACGTTTCATGCTGCAGATGATGCAGGCTCCCTTATATGCAAATGTTAGTGAAAATCTAGATGGTACAGTGGATCCTTCACTTGACTTTGAGAGTGGAGAGGAAGGGCTTGCCATACGCATAGCTGCAGAGGTAATTAATTGTGCACATTTGTGAGATTAATGTAGTTAATTTTTTCCTAAAGTGGATTTTGGGAACCATGCTTTTCTTCTGTTATTTGGTGGACCAAAACACTTTTCTCCCCGCTATTTTCTCTCTGGGTAATGATCCCAGCAAGAAGGAACAGAGTAAAAGAAATCCAATAAACAGATGGCTGCAGATTGAAGAAATGGCCATAGCCCCTACATCAATAGGTTTAGTATACAGGGTTGCATTTAGTCTTTTGATTTGTTGAATTTGACTTGGTTTTGAATGTTAGTGCCAAGTCCAATCCCATGACCCTCAATAGGTAGGGTGCCTTTGGCGTATGGGAAATGTCTATTGTTTGTTTTGAGGGATATTGTGGAAAAATAGTACTTTGGTCGAATGTCTCAGGTTCATTAAAATATTAGACACACTCATTTGTTGTTTGGGTTTTTTTTTTCTTTCCAGATGGCAGGCTTCCATACAAAGAAAACAACAGCTGAGAAATCATATCTTTCAGTGCTTTCCAGAATACTTGTCTTACTTCATTTTCGGTCATCAGAACAAGGTGCAATAAAATTATTGAGGCGGCTTTTGAATCGTGTGGCTGAATCTGTGTTGGCTGAGAAAGAGCTTCTAAAGGAATTGAAGCAGATGGCGGACCGTCTTAAGGCTCTAGATAGACATCCAGATCAGGAATTGTTGCCGGACCAGGCTAATCTTATTTTGGGTAAGGTCATCATTACTCCAAGCCAGATTTTGGATTAACAATATGTTGTTGGACTAGGTTCTAAAAAGCAGTTTTACCAAAGATCGTAACTTGCCAATTGATAAAAAGGGAGAGAAGATGGAAGAAATTTTTTGATACCTTTTCTTTTCTTCGGTTTAATTNGTAGTTTACCAAAGATCGTAACTTGCCAATTGATAAAAAGGGAGAGAAGATGGAAGAAATTTTTTGATACCTTTTCTTTTCTTCGGTTTAATTGTGCTGATAAGGCCATCTTAGTTTGCCTAATGAGTGAAAATATTTCTTGACTGGGAAATTCTGTTTAATTTTAAGTAGGGCAATTTGGGTGATTTAGAGAAGAGTAATGCATTTTATCCCTGGGTTAAAGTCCATGATGAAAGGGCATTTCTAAGCCTGCATTGCAAGTGTTCTTTTGTCTCTTGTTCTCTCCCCTTATTTTATCTCCTTTATTAGAACCAAGGAATTAAACTGCATTGAAATTCGGAGCATNCTTTCTTGACTGGGAAATTCTGTTAAATTTTAAGTAGGGCAATTTGGGTGATTTAGAGAAGAGTAATGCATTTTATCCCTGGGTTCAAGTCCATGATGAAAGGGCATTTCTAAGCCTGCATTGAAAGTGTTCTTTTGTCTCTTGTTCTCTCCCTTTATTTTATCTCCTTTATTAGAACCAAGGAATTAAACTGCATTGAAATTCGGAGCATAAATTAGCAATAATATTTCCTATATCAACTTTTTGCTTAGTTTTATGGCTTGAAAAGAGAAGAAAAGGAAGATCACTAGGACAGTGGAAAATATAATTATTTTCTTCGTTGCTAGTGGAGAGAACAAAATTCATGTAGCCGACCCAAATAATTGAGAGTTGGGACAAAGCTTTATTGAGTTGAGCCAAGTTGAGTGGTTGGTGGAGAGGATGGAGAGAGAGAACTATTAGGACTCTCATCTACTGTTTTTGCATACTAGTTTATTTTTTTGAAAATATTACTTTCTCGATTTTCTTTTTAGATCTATGTATTCTGCTGAAAGTTGTCTTAGCTGCAGTTCCAGTGATGGCCAATGATCAACATAATCTGTAGAGCTGGTCTAATGATTGATTTTTCCTTTCTTAGCTTTCGGTTTGTTTTTTTGTTGTCTTATTTGTACAATGACCTCGCTGTGACAATGTTCTCATTTCTTCCACATATATCCAGAGAGGTTGAAGTTAGATCTTGACTTTCCTGTGGAAGAGTCCACGGAAATGCCACCTACACCAGCACNTCTGTGACAATGTTCTCATTTCTTCCACATATCCAGAGAGGTTGCAGTTAGATCTTGACTTTCCTGTGGAAGAGTCCACGGAAATGCCACCTACACCAGCACCACGATCAACCAGACCAAACCGTGCCAGAAGACGAGTGAGGCGAGACGAAGAAATTTCCTCTGATGAAGAAATTTCACCTGCTTCTGTTGCTTCTACAAACCCTACCGTGATGAGCACTCGTTCACAGAGGGCAAGCAAGACTGCAGCAATGACCAAGATGACTGCTAGTAAATCTATCAGGATCAATGATGAGGCCGAAGAAGATGTGGAGGAAGAAGGCTCAGAGGTGACATCTGAAGATGATTCTGATGCATCTGACCAGTCACTTTGAGTGGGAGGAATTATATGCTCAGGTACTCTTCCTTCAATTACTGTAATTCTCTAATGTTGTGTAATTACTAGTTGGCTTAGGCTGCGTATTGTGTATCTGAAGTCTTTTGTTGGGACTCTGCTAAATGTGCATCTCGTACGATTAGCAGAATGCAAGTTATGTTAAAGTAATTTACCCAAAAAGAAAAAAAGTTCTGTTGAAGTTGTATAGGACCTACCTACTACCTACATTGCCCGATTTTTAGCAACTTTAAATGAGTAGGTGGTTTAACCAAGTATCACAAGAAGTCGTACACTTGAGTTTAACCCTTACCTTTATTATATTATTTGCACATGTGTAGCCATAACTCCAGATCACATGTGAGGGTATGTTTTGAAGTATGTAAACATGTTTTATTTCCTATATGACAACTCGTGGCTTTTAGAAGAGCTAGTGGTTTAATAATCCTGTTACTTCAAACGTTTTAGCTTGCAGTGAACAATCTTAGTGAGAATTCATATTGATACTTTTGTTGTACCCCATTCACCCAATAATCTACATTTGAATGGATTTTGGTAAATTGTCATAGTAAAAAAACAATAGATTTGGAAGGGAGCGAAATTACTTTGATGTAACCGGAAATCGGATAAAAACAGAATGATCTCCTATGTTCAATTTATTAGGATTTTGGCGGCCCTGAGTTTGAACCATGANTGAATGGATTTTGGTAAATTGTCATAGTAAAAAAACAATAGATTTGGAAGGGAGCGAAATTACTTTGATGTAATCGGAAATCGGATAAAAACATAATGATCTCCTATGTTCAATTTATTAGGATTTTGGCGGCCCTGAGTTTGAACCATGATGAAATTTGAGCCATAGCTCAGCTCATAGTGCAGGTTGGGTGTTGGAAAAATAGAAGGATGTAAAGTTATAGGAATAGATAAACATTATGCTGGGAAGAAAAATAGGAACGATGAAAAAATGGATTAATTAATTTTTTTTCTCACTTATCAAAATTAATTCTTCTAAAATTAGGAGGAAAAGTGAATAGAAAGTTAATTATGTGTGTTAAAATATGTTATTTGTTTATATATATATATATATATATATATATATATATATATATCATATTTATTAATTATATATATATTTTTCCATCTTATTAAACACAAAAAAAATAATATTTCCTACTTTCCATATTTTTTATTAAATAAAAAGGATGGAATGAAAGATATTTTTCTTGAAGGAGGAAAAGTGTATCACTTTCATTTTTTATCTTTTCATTTTTCTATCTATCCTATTAAACGGACGATTAGAGTTGTAATAAAAAACTAAGAGAGAGACCATCAAAATCAACATTGCTTCAACCCAAGCACCAACAACCCCCTCCTCCCCCAC